ACTGATTTCGCATCGAAATTAGTATCGGCGCTTCTCGCTCGCTCGGCTCGCGCACCATTATGGTGCTTTAATGGCGCTCGTACTGCAACTAAAAAATACGGGTCATATTTACAATACATTATTCTTAGAAAATGTTATATCTGAAATATTTATATAAAATGTACATTATGCCATCGGTATATTAGTTTGAAAGTTGTTATAGTCGCCTTACTTTTTCAAACTCGTATCTTAAAGCACAAAGTAACTGAAATGCAAAAAGTGCATTGTATTACAAATTTTGCAGACTGATTTCATATCACATTTTACTGGCTTTGATCTATTCTTAAAGTAATGCATCCCAATTAACACCTTTGATAAGAAATTTAAAATAAATAGAAACTTTTGCCATCTCCTGAATAACCGCTAGCGGGTGCGGTTTGTAAGATATAACAATAAATGACACATTTTTGGTCAATATAACGCTCAATGGATATAATTAATTTATAGTATACAGACATTTGACATATTCTTGCACGATATAAAGGTCATTGGGTATAATAGACGAATGATATAACGATGCCTTACTTTTTCAAACACGTATCTTATAAAGAGTGCTACCGCTAGCGGGTGCGGTTTGTAAGATATAACAATACAGATAAAAAATATAGAACAAAATACAATAAAGTAATTCCAGGATTTTAGAGGGAGGTATTATCCACTCTACGTGTATTAGTTCCTTGAACTTTATGTAAACATACCAACCCTATTCCGACTTCTAGCTTGATGTATTTTGTTGCTAATATACGACAATTACTGAAAAATGTAAATTAGGCGTACCTGACTATAAAGAATATTTTAATAACCCTACCTCTACAAATCTACCTACTCAGCGTAAATACGTACGTACGTAAACATAAACGTAAATAACGCATTTAATAACAAGATTCAAAATAAAATTAATAAATTATATATTATAATAAATTAATAAACAAATAAACCTGTCCAAGCGTAGATAAAAGTAAAATAACGACGGATTTTCCATTTCTTCAACCAATTTCAACAGATAAAAAATTATATTTTTCTTTGCGGAACATTACATAACATCTACCTATTAGGCTAGACACTAATTCCGTTACAAAATTTGGAAGGCAACCGATCCATACACAATTACTGTATGGTATATATAATTTTGCAATGTGTGTACGAATATAGCAACAATGTTCCAGGGATGAACGGGGAAATTGTTTCTTAGCAAGATACAGCAACAATGCAATTGAATTACAAAATCATCGTCAAATTCCACATTCACTGCCAGAATGTATGTACTCAATGCCACCCGTATCTCAACGGAGTTTTGTTATTCCAAATGGAAATGGATGTTACGTATGTCAAACACATAGGTATGTGTATGATGTATACCGGAATCTGGAATGGATACTCCGAAAAGTAATTCCGTGACGGAGTTCCGACCGTATGGGCTGGCTTGGGTTGGTTAGAAAAACCTTTATGTTCATGCAAGATAGAAAACATAGATACAAAAAAAAGGGGAGATATGGTATGGGGGGTGGTTCGTGTCGCCTCGATATGGTCAAAATGACCATATCGAGGTGACACGCCTACAAACATCGCCACAGTGACATGGCGATCGTTGTACATACATGATCTCTCGTAAAACGTGAAAATGCGAAGTTGTAGCGATACACCTTGTAAAAATTGGAGTGAAAACAAAAATTTATTTCACCGGCTATTTGCATTTTCAGTTACTATTTCTATTATTATTCAATGTTTTCTTTTTGTCTCCATAGAAATTTCTAGACTCAAATATAGTGATATTCATTTACGAAGACTGATGATTATCGAGGATAAATTTTTACTGAAATGTTTGAATTTCTTACTATGATTTTTGTAATTAAAGTCCCTAAAATATCGAAGCGAAAAGAAATCAATTTAACTTGAATGTTAAATTGATTTCTTTTATTTTATTATTATTATTATTAAACATTTTATTTCGAGTAACTTTAACAAAACTCATATTTCGGATAACCGTTTCAATTTCATGTCAATTTGGATGTTTGCTATTGCTTGAAGAAAAATTTATGTGTTTTAGATATTTAAATTCCATTATACTCGTAGATTAAGCATAGAATATTTTTAATTTTTAAGTTTTTCCAATGAGTTCAAAATAAAAGAAGGTTGGATTGAAGCTGCGGGAAAATCGAAAGATTGGTTTTCTTATTACTATTTCTGACTTTGTTTCAATTTCCATAGCAAATGCATTTAAAAAATACATAAAATATTTAATAATAATTGTTAATAATTTGCTTTATTTTACTTGTGCATGCAAAATAAATTAGAAACAATTATAGAAAACTACATAAATCCTTCATAAAAAAACAACATAATTTAATTTATTAAATTCGTTGATGGTTCGAGTTTACTCTTGACAGTGACAGCTTTACCAACCCGTGGTAACGTATAATGGAAAATTGACACTGGCGACAGTCGCCATATTTTTTATATTATTCTTATAAAACTGACACTGGTCCAAGCCTAGTGGCCGCCATTAAGAAAATAATAATAATTTGTATTAATGTATTAATTTAATAATACATCAGTACCATTGTAGATATAGTATGAAAAATGGAATATTTTTTATAGCGTCATTACATATCTCCCCTTTTTTTCTATATCTATGATAGGAAACTACGTTGCGAGTTTCCTTTCTTGCCGGCTTATTAAGATTCCATGTGGATAATTACAGGCACATAAACTTGTCAACTTATGTCTCAGGACGACAGGCGCAGTGGCAGTGCCCCTCAGATCTTTCCGATTTAAAGCTCTGAGTGGCACTGCAACTGTTATGGACAGGCGTGTAGCTCACTATCAGGCGCTCGACTTGTTCGTCCCGTCACTTGATAATATAAAAAAGGTAGTGATTCCCAAGGCTTCAACAATAGATCATTTTCTGACTCAAATCCAATAAATGAATAATTAATTTCCACAAGAACAGTTTTATCACAAAGGTATATTATAAAACACCTACATATATTATTTTATCTTGTTCACGTAAACACTTCGATAACTATTGTAATAACAATTAAGAGTTTAATAAAGATAAAATCCTCCAAGTTTTGAAAGTGGTGTAGGCACCAAGGACCTTAAAAGGTTAGGTACCTATCTGTATAAGTGTTTCGGTACACGTAAAATGGAACACAAAATGCATACCTAATAAGGTTGTTGGTTGTTTGAATTGTTAATATACTGATAAAACTTTTTCCTACTGGTAAACGAAAAAAAGAAATAGTTTTTTTGTAAAAAAATAAAATTTTTGACACCAAAAGTTACGTACAAAGTCAAAGTCATATAATCATTTATTCCAAAGGTCAAATTCTTACACTTGAAAACGTCATTTTTAAGCTACTGCTCGTTCACTGTGCCAACTTCACTGAGAAGAACGAGCAAGAGACTCTAGGGATTGCTCTTTTCAAATAATCTTAAAAGCCATACACTTTAAACCAAATATGCATGGAATCTAAACTCATGATGTTTTTCTATACATCTTTATTTAACACGTAGTCTACAATTTTGTAATATGACTTTTTAATTAAAATACTTTTAATGTAAGTTTTCAACTTAGGAAATGGTAATCTTAATAATAGGGGTTAAAGTATGAAATT